GGAGGAATTTTGAATCAGCGATCTTCAAGGAAATGTGTGACTCCTACGGAATCAAGAAAACCAGAACGACGCCCCTACATCCACAATCAGATGGCATGGTGGAAAGATTCAATCGCACCCTGGAAGAACATCTACGGAAAGTGGTGGACAGTGGCCAACGAGACTGGGATGAGCATATTCCCAAGTTTTTACTGGCTTATAGATCGGCCATTCATGATTCCACATCCCGGACCCCAGCCAAAGTTCTGTTCGGAAATGAATTAAAGCTACCTGGCGATTTGATATTCGGTGCTACCCCAAACGACGATGTGAACCAAGATGAAGACAGTCAAAACTCTTTTAGTAAAGTCCACGATGCAGTCCGACATCGAATAAAAATGGTTAGCAACCGCATGAAGGCAAGGTACGATCGAGCGGCAAATACCGATGGGTTTCAAGAAGGGCAACTGGTACTATTGTTCAACCCACAACGAAAGAAAGGACTATGCCCCAAATTACAAACGCACTGGGAAGGACCCTACAAGATTGTCACGAAAATAAATGACGTCGTTTATCGCATCCAGAGGAGCGACAGTCCCAGGTCGAAGATGAAAGTTGTACATTTGGAGCGGCTGACCCCCTACGGAACGGGAACTGTGCCTATTCGGGACGAACAGGCTTAAGCGGGGGGCAATGTTACGAATATAACTTTAGATTTAAGTTAATTTAGATGAATTCCGTTAATTTAAGAATTTGAATTGTAACGTAAATTTCTACTACGCAGTTTATTTGAATAACTTCACAACAACAACTACTGTATAGATTTTTCTACATCCTTCCATTTCCTCTTTCATTTTCTATTTTGTTGCTGACGTACAATTCTTGTTAAACGTCATCATTGATGATCGCTTAATTCCTCTTTCTTTGTTATCCCCTCGCCTGTGTATGTGTTGTTGTTATTGTTCACTCAATGTAAGTTTGTATGTGTTCTTGTTATTGTTCACTCAATGTAAGTTTGTATGTGTTCGTTGCATTGGTAGATTGTTCGTAATCTAGGCGTTACCAGATCGTCTAGAAACATCTGTAGCGACAGGCGAGGCTCATATAAATAGGGGAAATGGAAAGGCAGTTAGTCAGTTGTGAATCAGATCGCGAATTGAAACCGTCGAGTGAAGTAAAGTGCAAAGTAAAGTTGTGTGAATAAAATCATTGTAATAATCGTAATCCGAAAGAACCCGCGTTTTATTTGGTACGAGCTGTATTGGGAAATAAAACAACGTCTACACGGGATTAAGTAAAATCCAAGAACGTAACAATATATACACTTAGGTCATATGCGAAGTGGAAAATATTGGCCCTTTCCTTCGGTATTATCGGAATAAGGAGTGAAGATTTTCAATAATCAAGTCAAATATATATTATTTTCGGACATAAGCTGAGGGTATATAACTGTCGACAAAATTGACTGATACTTCACTTGTTTTTTTTTTTAATTTTTCATGAGGTTAAGTATAGGGTCGAAATGGAAATGGAATGAAATTAACTAAAAACTGAAATTTCGCCTGATTTCCCTGGTCTCTCTACAAGTCACCATAATGAACCTATTCGAGTTAGAGTTTGGGAGAGGATAGAAGCATTAAATTTTGGATAGGTGTTGGAATTCAAAGAAAGAACTTAATAAAGCAATTAATTTTACTAAAACTAAGAAGTAACCGGAGTTTGGCGGATTTGAGACCTTGATACGGATTCATGACAGGGGGAATTGGGAGGTCTGAGTCTGATAGATCAGACACCTGTTTCTAAGGATATGGTTCTCCAAAGGATATGGTGATAGTCTTTAAGAAAATGCATTTTACGGAAAAAGTAATCGAGCAAGGATGCAAAAGGCTACAACTGCTTGAACTGAAGGATACCACAGACATAATCAATCAGAGCTCTACAGGGATTCGACTACAACGGCAGTAGACTTTAAGAAGTACTCAAGCTACTGTGGAAATATACCTTAATAAATATACAAGCAAGGCTTCACAAGCATATGCAAGGATACTTTAATAAGTACTTAAGCAAGTATTGGTAAGACATAAACATAAGAATATGTAAGAATTTAATAAGTGTATGGATTCTAAGGATATATCTGGATCAAGAACTCACAAATCTGGATAAGTACTCTGAGGCAGAAAGGAAGAGATAAGATAATTTAGCTCTGTCCGTCCGTTCGTCTTTGCTATACACGCTGAAGTCGAAAGGAATTAAGTTGGCAAGCTAAAATTTTGCACAGATCAATTTTTTGTCGTTTGTCAAGTTCGGTACGAGCGGGTATTTGGTTTCTTGATGATTTTAGCCGCATGGATTTGTCTGGAATCCGATGTGTTAAGTTCCTAATAGGCTATTATGAATCTGCCAAAAACGCGTGTACATACGTCTGAATTTGAAGTTCATTTCGGGTATTTGTGAAGTTCTTAATAGGTACATACGACTCTAATAAAAATTGTTTAAATAGGCCTACGATTGCATATATTCCCCCACAAAAAATTACTCCGAAATATTTAGAAATATTTTTTATGGAATTTTCTACCCATAGCCGAAAAATTGTCTACTTAGTGGAGGGTATCAACAGTTTGGCCCCGCTGTACATAACTGTTTTCACTTGTTATCTTTACTAGTTATCTTTAGCACCAGAAAATCAAGTTTTTATACCCTACACCACATGGTGGTAAGGGTATTATGTCTTTGTGCATTTGTTTGTAACATGGAGAAGGAAGCGAGATAGACCCATATCTCCCTTACCACCATGTGGTGTAGGGTATAAAAACTTGATTTTCTGGTGCTAAAGATAACTAGTAAAGATAACAAGTTGCTTTTGAGGATCTTCATAGAATCACTTTCTGAGTCGATTTATGCATGTCAGTCAGCCTGTCCATCCATATATTCTTGTGAAAAAATGCAGGTTGCATTTATAATCCGATTGAGATGAAATTTTGCAAACAATATTTGTTTGGCCCAAGGACGAACCCTATTGAAATTGGTGATAATCAGATCAGATTTAGATATAGCTCCCATATATCTTCAAATGATTTCGGGTTAATTGTGCACCAAATGGCTAATATAAGTCCAAATGACTTGTATTTTGGTACATCCCACCGAACTCAGTCTAGAAGCAAGTAAATCAAATTTGGGGTTTTAAGTCCCTCACATGCGTAATATGCACTCCAGAAGAATGATATTTGGTACCGGACATCAGATACTGCTCAAAAATACCTCTGTCAAATGTTATCGAGATCGGTTCAGATTAGGATATACTTCCATATATATCTTTTACCGATATCAGGTTTATTGTGCAACAAATGGCTAATATCAGCCCAAATGGACTAAATTTTGGCAGTTCCTACTAGATTTATCGTAGAAACAAGTATTTCAAATTTGGTGAAAATCGGTATAGCTCCCATATATATGTTTCATTCGATTTGGTGTTAAAGTCCTTCACAAGCGTAATATGCATTCCACAACAAAGATCTTTGGTACCAGATATCAGATGCTGCCCTGAAATAAGTGTATCTAATTTTGTCAAGATCGGTTCACATTTGGATATAGCTCCCATATATATCTTCAACCGATTTCGGGTTAATTGTGCACCAAATGGCCAATATCAGTCCAAATTACCTGAATGTTGGCATATCCGACCGAATTCAGACTAGATGCAAGTACATTAAATTCGGAAAAAATCGGTTCAGATATAGCTATAGCTCCCATATATATGTTTCATATGATTTTGTGTTTAAGTCCCTCACATTCGTAATATGCATTCGACAACAATGATATTTGGTACTAGTTATCAGATACAACCCAGAAATACCTTTGCCAAATTTTATTAAAATATTTATATCTTCAACCGATTTCGGGTTTATTGTGCAAATAATGGCTAATATTAGCCCAAATGGAGTGAATTTCGGGACGTACGTTTCCATTGTGTGCAACTCGACTGCGATATATATATTTTTATATAATCCTTCTCCAAATGATATCATGTACTTTATAGCAAACTATAACTGCTCTAAAGCCAAATTTTGATAGGTGGTATGATCTACTTAATATAAATAGATCCTGGAATTGGCACTCTATACAGTACAATCATAGGAAGTTCTATACATTTTTAAACCGTTCGGCCTAGACGTTGATGAAGAAACAAGTTAGTGGCCCGACTACATATGATATTAGAGTCATATGTAAACTGACCTTTTCCATAATAACCTGTAGTATTTTTATACCCTCCGCCTTGGAATATGTACCCTTCTTCTTCCAAAATATATATCATCCTATACTAGATTTGTCATTCCCCATAAATTATATATATTCATGATCAGCATAAAATTCTAATATGATTTAAAGTCATGACACAGATGTAGAGCTTTGAAAGTTGGAACAACAATTTGTATTGTGTTTTGGATGGTTGGCATTAAAAATGAGATTTGTCGTTCCAAGTTTTCCTATAGGGCCCATATAACGGTTCCTCCCCACATTCGGTATTTTCATAATTTTAGCCCCATTTTTCCATGGAATTGGCATTAAGGGTTTGTAGTTCAGCATTGTCTATATAAGTCCACGTTTTACATTATCACCCATATTACAGTACCTTTGGATAATCGGTCTTATTAGGATTTAAGCCACATTTTCTCTCGGATTTGTTTCAAATTCGGTATTTATAGTTCGTAATGGGTTCTTCGGCAGGTGTAATAACGTTGTCCATATTCGTCCACGGTTTCAATATAACTGTACCCACAGATATTCGGTATTTAGATGGTTCTAGCCTTTACCTGTATTATACAACCGATCTTACTGATATTTGCAGATCATTGTGAAATACGTTTGAATCCAGATACTTTTCTAATTGTGGAAGGTATTACGAGTTCCCTTCGGGAAAACTTAATGTTTTTTTACTTGTTATAACATACTTTTAGACGCTCCTCAGAATAATTCCTCCTCATTGTAATCCATCTCCACGATTTATAAAATTTTCATTTCAGATTAATGCGACCGGAAGTTTTACTGGCCTCCGTGCTGTGGGAAGATATCGACAGCATAACCAAGGCAAAAAATATGTTAAATCAATTTCTCTTCTACAATGGCTCAGCAATACCGCCAAATCTCAGAGAGGTAATTTTCCATTATAACAACTCTTTAAATTTGTATGTACAAAAATATCAATATGCTCCTACAGGTGGTTTATACGGGTTCCATATTATCGGGAGAATATATTTTCTGGCAACATTGTTGGGAACGTTTTGTAACGCTGCAAAGAAACTCCGATAGCTATGTGGAACGCATGCAACTCTTGCGAGCTCTGGGCAGAACCAAAGATGCTTGGCTACAAAATCGCCTACTCTCCCATGTAACAATGCTGCCCACAGCGGAGGTGGTACAGGTGTTGCAGGCAATTGCTGGAACGCCCACAGGTGGTGCAATGGCCTGTCGATTTTTGCAAGCCAAATGGTTTGAACTAGAATCGCGTATGGGCCAGGGAACTTTGGCCTTTGCCAAAGTGATATCGGCCATAACGCAATATGGTGCCACAAAATTCGATTATGATGAGGTAAGTTGGAAAATATAGGAGCCATGTTTTTCGGGAGAACTCCAGAACACAATTGTTTTCTTTTCCTTCTAGCTCAAATCCTTGGTACATCGTTTTGGCCGGGGACCCGGTTTGGGAGTTTTAAATATGACCTTAAGTAGTGTGGCTTCCAATGTAGAATGGGTGGCCAGATCTCAGCCTTCACTGTATAAATGGGTGGAAAGTAACCTGCATTCCCATTAAAACCACAGGGTATCAAACGCTTTCCCTCACACACACACATCTACCAAGAAGGAAAACTCACTCAAACATTAAATGTAAAATCTGTATAGTATTAAATATCTATTTATTTATATACATAATTATTATCATTTTTTCAAAACAAAAATATATTCATACATATATATAAAATAAAAAAAAAACTTAACAAACCAACAAAACAAAAACAATCAAAATAAGAAATGAATGAATAAAAAAGTGATCAAAGAGGAACTATTATATATATTAAAGTCATTAATAACATATGGTACATACATCACTTAAATTAGTAAAGAATGAAAATATTTCATCTTATGTTTTGAAAGAAAACACACATACATACACATATATCCTCATTTGTAATTATGTTCCTTTGGAAAAGCGAAAAGACAAAAATGAAAGTAACAAAGCATCACAAAAGCAAAACTAAAATTCTTTTAACCAACAAAACAAACAAACAAATAACAAAGAAATATTTATTATGTTGTTGTAATTATCATCAGGAATACATAAATACATCTAAAAACACATACATATGCAAATATTTGAGAATAAAATCCTTTTTTGAGGTTATAGATTATTCCTTCTTTCCATATCTATCGCAAAACATTATAAGTACTTTTTTTATTTTTTAACAGCAGTTTAAGTACAGAAATAACAATAAATATTTGTGTATATGGTAGGGTGTAGAATAAACGTAAAATAGTCACATAAAAACTCGAAATAGAGATTTGTTTTGGAATAAAATAAAATATTTAACAAAATTTTGAGGAACAATATCTAAAAATTTAACATACAATTTTTAACTTTGCATTGGGAAGACGTTTCCATGAGCAAAAACTTTTTTAATTAAAATATTTACTTAATGTGTTCTTTAAGATTTTTAAATTACTCCAGAATTAACAAGGACTGCTTTCAGCATATGCTAAAAGAAATTTCGCCAAAGTTGCAAAGCAGATAAAAAAGTTTATAAAAAAAACTCTTCAATTTTTTTTCCAGTGTTGGGTATTTTTGCTCTGATTCCGGGAAATCATTTTTCTGGGGGGACGGACCCTGCAAACCAGATTTTTGACCCGAAAGTCCGAGTTCAAGACCCTGACTAGGCCAATATATTGATCCAATATATACAATATAGGTATCGCTTATGAAAATACCTATCCAACTAGTTAGTGGTCACTTGTTGCGGGCTATTTAATTGGAAGTTAAAGTCAAATCATCGATTTTTTAGACCAGGATTTTTTATAAAACCGCAAAATGTGGAAAAAGGGCCCATTAAGGGGGTCAAAAAAATTAAACAAAAAATCATAGCAATCATAGTAATAGTTTCCCGGAATCAGGGTAAAAATGCCTTTGAATAAATCGAAGAGTTTTGACTGAACTAAAGTTGTTTCAAATATTCAATGGAGGTAATATTGAAGAAGAAGAAGGCATTAGGAATATATGAAAGGATCCAGTCACAAGTGGTTCACGAACAGTGATCCAGCTAGGAGCAGTGAGGATTATTAATGACGTAATGATAATTACGAACTGTGAGTATGCACCAGGTATCAAGCTATTTAAATGTGAAGGCTAGTTACAAAGCGTGGGGCATGAGCTAGGAACTGTCTACGAACGAATTAATGAACATGATACAAGAACGAAATGGTATATATCATTTGATATGGCTAAAATGTGTCTCATTGAAATAACGGTTTTATACACTAGGTCTTTTTGGGCGAAATTCATTTCAAGAGATTCGCAGTTGCCGTCGGAACAAAATCAACCCATCATTCTGGTACCTCCCCATATAGATTCAACATTTTCCGAAGACATAATTTACCTTATAAAAAGTAAAAGAGGAGTTGTGTTCGACAGGGCAAACTTTCAACACCCTCCACCAGATGTAAAGTGTCGGCTAGTACAGTTATATACGGAAACGTATACCTGTAAATTACCCTGCTGTACTACGAGGTGATACCTATTACGAACTCCAGATACCAACTCCAATATCAACTTTGAAACCATTAAAAATCAGTTTAAATTATCAAAATACCGAATATCAGGAGGTACAGCTATATTGGGTCTACACCACAACTTTGACCAATATGTACAGTTCTTCTCAAGGACCAATGTCCTGCAAGTCGATTTTAGCGATTTTCAATATTTTCCAACAATATTGACATAGGTCCATGTTTATGCTTAGTGAAAATAGAATATGAAACCAGTAAGGAAAGGTCAAAAGTCGGGCGGGCCGACTATATGATACCCTACCGAATCTCGATAACATTTGGAAGAGGTATTTTCAAGCTGTATCTGATGTTCGGTATCAAATATAATTGTTATGGAGTGCCTATTACGCATGTGAGAGACTTTAACACCATATCTGAACCGATTTTCACATACATTTGAAGTGCTTGCTTCTGGGCGTATTTTCATTGGAAATTCCGAAATTCAGTCCATTTAGACTGATATTGGCCATTTGGCGCACAATTAACCCGAAATCGGTTGAAGATAAATATGGGAGCCATATCTAAATTTTGATCGATTATCTTCAGCTTCAATAGGGTTCGTCCGGTCGGGCAATAAATTTGACCTGTACTTTAAAAAAAATACATTGACAGACGGACGGTTGGACATGCATAAATCGACTCAGAATTTGATTCTTTGCAGATCATCAATGGGTCTATCTCACCTCCTTCTCCATGTTACAAACAAATGCACAAAGATATAATACCTTTACCACTATTTGGTGTAGGGTATAAAAATAGAACAGTGTTGGCATGTTTGTTCTGGATGCGTAGTATTTTGTTGTTGCAAAATAGTAAGGCTCAATCCCATTATTGTTGTTTTTCTGAAAACAACGTTCGTTTATTAGTGAAGAAAGATGGTAATGTTTACCAGGGTGTAGGGCAGGCAATACCTAGGTTTAGAAAATAGCCACCAATTCTCATCAGTTCTCTTTTGTTTTTCGCTGGCGATACTCTCCCCAGTGGTTATCTTAAAATAAATCCTATGACAAAAACTTTTTTTACCCAAGCGACGAGATCGTAAGGTAAACAATACCATCAAATATTGAATTGAATATGAACAAGTAAAAAAGCTATAAGTTCGGCCGGGACGAACTTTGAATACCCTCCACCATTTGGAACGAATTTGACAATTTTCAAAAAAAAAATCATAAAATATATATATATTAAAATCTTAAAACTACCTAATGTAGCCGTTATATTAGGGTATATACGACGACGTGGACCTGCATTCAAATGCGAAACTTGAAAAAAAAAATTCGGTGAAAAATTTAGCTATAGCTACCAAACCAAACCATACCAAAACGTGGACCTGCACAGACAATTTTCTGTCTTAGGCTGTAGTATCCATTATGAACTTCCAATGCCAGATTTGAAGCGATTCCGGTGGATAATGTAGATAAAAACATCAAAATACCGAATATCGGGAGGTGCCGTTATATGAAGGCTGTACGAAGACGTGGACCGGTACAGAAAATTTTCTGTCATAGGTTGTAGTATCCATTACAAGCTTCAAATACCAAATTTGAAGCGATTCCGGTGGATAATGCCGGTAAACTCATCAAAATACGGAATATCGGGAGGTACCGTTATATGGGGGCTATACGAAGACGTGTATCGGCACAGAAAATTTTCTGTCATAGGTTGTAGTATCCATTACAAGCTTCAAATACCAAAGTTGAAGCGATTCCGGTGGATAATGTCGCTAAACTCATCAAAATACCGAATATCGGGAGGTGCCTTTATGTGGGAACTATACCAAAACGTGAACCTACATTGCCCATTTTCAATACCCAAAGTCCTGCAGACATAATATATATTTGAGTAAAATTTTATCAACCTACTTCATTTCGTCAACCTACTTGATTTCCACAGACGGACAGACATCGCTTAATCGACATAGAATTTTATGCTGATCATGGATATATATATATACTTTGTGGGGTCTAAAATGTATATTTCGAGGTCTTACAAATGAAATGACAAACTTAATATACTATAGTGGAGGGTGTACAAATATATATAATTATAAATTATAATTATATATAATTATATATAATTATAATTATAATTATAATTATAAATTTATATATAATTATAAAATTCAGTGAATAACTTTTCTTAGAAATTTCTTCTAACACTTCTAATTGTACAATGGTCTCTTAATACAGTTGTGTGTGTTTTCAATATAAAATTGGGGTAACGTTCTGTCCATTGTAGTGAATCTAATGGCAAAATGTTTAATTCTTCCCAAGATGCGTAATTCTCCCCAATCGATTTGGCTTTGAAATGTCCTTTCCAATCGTATATCTTAGCTAATTAATCATTCAAAAATGCCGAATCTTTTTTTTTTTGTTTTTATTGAAATTTCTTTTACACTACACCCTAATATACTTGGAATTTAATAAATTCTAAAGGAAAGCAGGTAATAAGAATAATGAAGTTAGAGAAATTCGTAAACTTATCAATCATATCATATTTGTCTTTAGTTTAATTTTAAATATTATTTATAATTATTGAATTATTATTGTAACATAAAAAACTGCACCAATAAGTCTGTTCTAGTAAAATTCTATTGTTCGAAACATTTTTATTTATATTTTATTTTTGATTTAATACAAATTTAAATAATCTACATTTAATAAAATAAAACGTTTATTATTATTTAAATGATTATAATACTATCAAGAAAAATCTGTTTTGATTTTAACTAATTAAACTTATTATTAAAAATAAAATATATATTAATATTTTATCAATATTAAAACGATATTTATATACAACTATAGTGAATAGTCTTTTTAGTTCTATGTAATTAAGTATAAATATTTAGTAAATTATAATCTGTAATTTATGTGTAATGTATAAATGTCCACAGATATGTTGTAAATGTATATGAAAATAATATAACAAGCAAATATATTTCCAACAAAAAATACAACAGAAATAATTTTAAATATAAACCAATTTTGATTTTGAAAATATGAAAAGATTTATTTAAGCAAAATTACCAACATTAACGCGAAATTGTAAAATAACAATATTTCCCCATACAACTACAAAATAAATAATTAAAAAAAAATAAATCCATAGTTTCTTCCCATTTTAATAAACAATTTTTTATGAATGCCACTAAATAATCAATCAATAATCCAATTTAACAAATAATCACATACGATTTTTTTTTAAATAATATATTTTTGTAATAACCTCTTCAATATTACCTAAATATTAGAATCACAATTTTTATTACCCTCCATAATTATAATATCTTTTTTTCTGAGAAATTAAAGGAAAGAAAAAACGCAAAACCACTTAGAATCTAGCAACAAACTTAGTTATAAGTAAAAAAAATAAATAATATACAAACAAATACAAAAACGATGTCTTAATATAAAATATATATTTTGGAATACTAAAACAGAAATTAAATTTATATAAAAAAGTAAAAAAAGAGACAACATCATTTCATTTTACACTTTTTTCATTTACTACGTATCTTATTCTTTCTCTATGCATATAAAATTATTCTTCAAACTTCCTTTGGTCCACTACTAACGAGGTCGGCTCGTAAACTTCTTCCCTATCAATGAAAGAGAATAGTTAGTTATTCAAAAAAAAAAAAATTATTTTTCAATATAATCTTCTGGAACTTTCCTGCACTTAGTCCAACGCTTTTCTAGCAATTCTACCTCTTTTTGTGTTGTGGGTCAGGACGTTTTTTTTCGAATTTGTACATTTAATTGATCCAAAAGATTGCAATAGTACTCTGGGCTTAATTCTAGTTTGGTAAAAACTCTTAAATTTTTTCGACATTTTTTCCAGTAGTAGGTATTTTTACCCTGATCCCGGGAAACTATTTTTTTCTTGGTGGACGTACCCGAGAACCCAGCTTTTTAACCCCAAAGTCCGAGTTCAAAACCCCGACTAGACTATTGACAATATAGGTATCGTTCGCATCCGTCCGCATAACCCGATTCTTACCAGTTCATTAAAATTATGTTTTCAATAAAAAAGGTTTACGACGGCTGCGCGAAGTCGTTGGATTACAACACCACATTTAGAAAATTTTGGTTCGCGTTAGCCGGTGTTGGACATACTCAGAGGAGAAAATCTCAAGCCCCGACCAAAGGCCGGCTATTTTCCAAAAGTGTCAAATAATGTACTCGCACAAATTGTAGCATTTTGGAAAGATAAGAGTGTCAGCTATAATTTGGCATCAATTTTATTTACCCCCATAATGGGCCCTTTTTGGACTCTGTTATTGTTTTACCCTTTTGCATATAGTCAATCAATAAAATACAAGCTTGAGAAATGTTCATTCTTATGCGTTTTTTATCGACTGTTAACAAATGCGGCTCCCATCTTGCAGAAAGCTTTTTCATCTGTAGTTCTTCATGCAAAATTAAATGGACTCGATCATTGGAGATGCCCATGATATTAGAAATTTCACGCACTTTTATTCGTCGATCATTTAATACCATATCATGCACTTTGTCTACAATTTCTGCTGTTGTTGAGGGTTTTGGACGTCCACTACATGGTCATCCTCAATGCTTGAACGCCCATGCTTAAATTTAGTAACCCAATTTTTTACTGTTGCATATGAAGGAGCACTTTCACCTAACACATTCCCAATATCATTATGAATTTCTTGTCCTGATAAACCTTTTTTTATGTAAATATTTAATAAAACCACGAATTTCTAATTTTTCCATTGTAAAAAATTGCGGATACGTCTTTTTTAAACACCTTTTTCTATATGAAAGAGTTGCTAAATCGAAACAAAATTTAACATGTGTTCGTAACAGAGATGGAAGTTTCCAAAAAAAAAAACTTAACTTTTTTTCTGTTTATACCGCGCTTATTGTGCTACGCTAAGTAGTTTCCGAACTGCCCTCGTAACGTTCAATATTTACATCGTTCGTGTCGATTATGTTACCAAAATCGTTGCATTTGACATATTGTATTTGTTTTTCTTGGCAGCAAAACGTTCACCAAAAGTTCGATTTTTTCCGGTTTTTGGATAGTTTTTCAAAATATTTCATTTTTAATGGTGCAAAAAGGCTCAGCTCTCAATTTGGTATTTGGGGTTCTAATTTAGTATGTGATCTCAGACGTACTGATTGATCCATAATCAATGTGCAGACCACACGGCTGAAGTTGGAATAAAGCTGAATTTTTGCACAAGGGTACTAATTTTTGGAAACTAGTACCAAACCCGTACAAAAACTTCTAAATGGTAGCATTTAGTATTTTGTGAACGGATAGAGATAAAAACTTGAACTTTTGTATGTGAATCAAGGTTGGAAAGTAAGTTTTATATATGAAGGTGGTTTCGGAAATATGTGCTAAGTATGCGAACTGTACTAAATGGTACTAAATTTTAACATTTTAGTTTAGGGTAAATGTATGATGCTGAAATTCTGAAATTATGCATTGGGGTCTTTGTTGATGTTAGGTTTGCGATACAGAGGTGGCTTCAGAAATATATACAAAAGTACACAAAAGTAATAAAAAGAGATAGTGCTTAAAATCTGAAATTTCGTATTAGGGTCATTGTTCATGTATAGCCTGGATACATGGAGGTGATTTTGGAACTGTGTACTATAACTGTACTGTGATAGGTATATCCTACTCTAAATTGATTTCCACTAAATTTGATGGATATGTTTTTACCTCTAGTACCAAATACCATTGTTATTAAGAAGGCTTAAATTAAAACATGTAAAAAAAAACCGTGTATCGAAGCCATAGATATATCTGAACCGATTTTCACCAAATTATGTTTCGTATTTGCTTCCAGGCTAAATTCGGTTGGAATTGACAAAATCCGCTCCATTTGGGATGATATTAACCATTTGGTGCACAAAAAGCTTGAAATCAGATGAAGATATAAATAGGAGCTATGTCGAAATCTGAACCGATCTTGACAAAATGTAGAAGAAGTATTTATGAGATGTGCCTAATATCTAAAACCAAATATCGTTGTTGT